TAATATTAAAAGGCTTTAACGAAGAAAGAGAAGTTTGACAGCTTTAAAAATATTAACTATAGACAGATAAATAAATAAATAATCCCTACTAGTAAAGTTTATGAAATTCTGATCCACACAATTCTTATTACTATTTGACTAATTAAGATTGCAACTATAGTTAGATTGTTGTAAAATAACAGTATTCTGTTAAGAAAGATAAGCACCATTACTGGATCAATCATTGTAACCAACTTTGTTCCCCACTAACTAGCAAAATGGAGGGGGAATTGAAGAGGAAGGGACAGAGAGAGAATCTAATCTGCTCCAAAAGCTTTGGAACTTTCCAAGAAGAGATCTGGAAAACATGTGGGTAGTAGTAAAGTACAAGAAATTCCAAATGCAGTAACTGAAGTCCTTGTGATGTTGGCTGTAATTCAAAATATTATTATTCTAAGTACAAATATTTCCCTGGAAAGGATACTGTATATTACGGGATGTTATGACAACCATACAGGCCTTGCAATAAAAATGTTATATGAAAAATATCTATAATATATGCATATCAAAGCATAATTTTAAAATTATAACATCTCCTATCAACAATAATTAAAATTCCATTCAACTTTATATATTCTCCAAGATTCAAAGATAACCAACATAAACTGACATATAAATTCAGTTTTACAGTATAAGGGCCACATAAACTATATAAACGTGAATTTGGGAGAAATCTTCTGGCACTTTAATGACATTATGTATAGTACATCTAAGTTTCACATTTGGGAAGTTTTAACACTCTTAGGTTTCTACTATTTATATTGTAAAAATTATTAGTTTTTGTGAAGTATTAGTAACTTGGCTAAATTGTTCTTATTACAATTTATCTTTGGAATTCTGTACTGAATTAACAATATTCTACAATCTTATTCTGGACTAAGATTTCTGAAAGAAGGAGCTCATTACCATACATAAGCAATATTTACTTCAACTACAATTATGTGAAATGCCTATTTTGTTAGCCGGCCTTTGCACTATGTAATCAATAGGCATTTGTTAATTCCATGTGTCAAGACATGCATAAATGTTGCATCTGTTTTCAGTATTTTTATACCGAATGTCTTATCTAGGTCCTCCTTGTGAGCTTCTAGTTGATCAGTTTGTAGCCTTTATTAAAAGAGAAATAAAATGTCACACGTATGGCAAAAATTGTGTTTGAAGAAACAGTAAAATGCCCAAACGTGGATTCTTTTGTTGGAAGAATTTAAACATATAGCTTTAAAAAAATCTGGCTGCTTCCTCAATCAGTCACTATGAAGTCACAGAAACCTTTCACAGAAGTCAAAGTTTATCTTTGAATGTTTATGTTATGAAATACTTCGCAAACTCTATGTTTGTAGAATATGGGAATATTATTATGATATAGAGCAGGCTTGCACAGTTATAGAGGGGAAAGGGCTACATTGATAAATTAAAAATCACTGCACACCACAAAGGAATACCTGGTGTGCCAATCAGCTGTTCACCAGATAGCGGAGCAGCAGCAGTGCTGGAGCTGGCAGTGGCAGCAAGGCATGGAAGTGTTTGACAGTGCACTTTCAGGGAAGTGGCAAATTTATTACTTTTTTAAAAACGCCAACAGGCTGCACAATGCTGCTTGCCTGAGGGTTGTGCAGGTGGTACAGAGTATTTTATATTGTAAATTTAGTTTTAACTAATAAAAGTATAGAATAAAGCCTGATTTCAATTACTCTAATATAATTTTAGCAGCTTTTATATATGCATTTATATTTTGTTTTAAATAGCATTTTGAGTTTTATATAATCTCTCTCTATATATATATATTAAGCATTGCCCCGATGAAGAACTCTGAAATCCATTGTACTATATT